ATCACACGACTGACAACTTGAAGGGTCACCCTGCGTCACCGGTGGCTGTTCCTACTTCTTCAAGTTGGGCTAGATTCTGCCTGTCCGACCCTCTTGTTAGGTCACTAGCATGGACAGTGCTTATCTACCCCCACATGGCTGGAAAACATCAGATGAAGGCCCATCACTATGCACACAACGTTGACAAGCAAGTGCATGATCTAGGGTCGAATCTCGAAATAAGCGAAGGGTTTGCAGGACCTTAACATGTTGACGTTCGTACGGCAAAATGATCTCTCGCATAGACATAGTTACGACGTACCCTATCTTACATTTATGAGTAACTTGACTATTTGCGGAACAAACATGACGGCCTGGCGCTCAAGGTGGGAGTGGACAGCAGGGACGACGGGGGCAGGACTAAGGAGGGAGAGGGTAGAGTCATGAGCTATGAATGCATTTGGTCCTCTGGAACAAACTACGGTGCGCTGCACCATCAGGTAAGGTAGAATCGGCCCAGCCGATCCAGTTACTCCAAGCAAGTTAAGGAACCAGGACTGGAGTTTGAACACTTGAAGCGTGCCTGCACACCTCGCTCTAGCTCGACCCTGGGTTGAGCCTAAATTTTTTAGATCGCATGCCAAAAGCATACATGCGAGATCTTGTGCTGTGGCGGCGAAGTTCAACATACACAATCCTCGAACGTCGTCGTGCTGAAATATACACAGTTTTCATTGGCATGCGAATCCAAGTTGCCAATGATCAGACGAGGCGTGAAAAAGAGCTCTCAGCGAGACTCCTAACGTTGGTATTGGCTAAGCCATGTAAAATCATGGGAGTACTCTATCATACCGGAATGTTAGCCCATAATGCCACGAAGAAGATTTGGATTGTCAAATTCCTAGCGGAATTCGATGAGTACTTTCAGAGAGCAAACCGGAGGAAGAGGAACTCACAGGACGAAGCATGTGATATGATATCGAACGACTATTAGTATTTGGCCTCATTTTGATTTCCTTTCGTTCTTTCAGGACTGCAGCTGCGAGAATAGCCAGAAAAGTATCTTAGCATATGATTGCGACTCTACAGATAGCAAATATGGATACACTCACTGATTCAGCTATATACATCAGACTCCCCTCTATAACGCTAGTCAGTTAATAATGGGCCCATTAGCATATGCTTAGATACAGCAGTCATAAAGCTAAAGCCTCAAGGCCTCATGCCTCACTGCCTCGATTCAGTGTTGACATGAATTGTACAGTGTAGGGAAGGACGGAGGATGCCGTCGGAGTTTGATTGAAACCTTGTCTATCTCAAACTCTAAACATCCATCATCCACGCAAAAAGTTCGCCCATCGCTGTCGGCAGCTCCAATAAACATGGTAAGCAAGCCCTGTAGTCTCAAGCCATTCGTGCAACTCACTTTCTCTAGGACTCATCAAAAGCACCCGTCAAACTCGCTAAGGTTATCAAGGTTAATATGCATGCTAACCCCTCGCAAACATACTCATTCCAACTTCTGGCATCAGGTTCTCGGACGCACCGGCTCTCGTGGTGGAGTCACGCAAGTGCGCGTTGAGTTCATGGATGACACTACGCGAACAATTATTCGCAACGTCAAAGGTCCTGTGCGGGAGGAGGATATCCTTGCACTTCTGGAGAGCGAGCGTGAAGCTCGGTAGGTTTTAATTTTTATGCGTCGTGCACTGAACTGAGTGTGTTTTTATGACAGCCGCTTGCGCTAAATCTCCATGTTATTCTTGCGATGTGTTCTTAGTTCTCTATCATTGCGCATGTACACGAATCCCTCTGCATGAGTTATACCGAACCCTCCTCCAATCCTTGTAAGGTCCCCCATCCGATCACACCGCATTTCAAGTTATAGTGACAAGGTAATTGGATATATGCGCGCAAGCTCTTTTTCGCCTAGTGCAGATTGATATAGAATGCGCTATCAAAAGATTGTAATTAAGTAGGACCGCAACATCCGACTGTCCGATTTTTCGGTAGTATTTGAATATCGATCGATTCACTGCCGTTTTGTCTTGCCTTCATCCCTCCCCTCCCTTTCTGCAATAATATCACTCGCGATGACTCGAAGGATGGCCTATGTGACTCTACTCACAAAAACCAGTTATTTACCTGGCATTCTGGTGCTCGACTGTACCCTTAGATCTGTGGATTCTGCGTTCCCTCTTGTTGTGATGGTCACTCCTACGCTCCCCCAGGATGCTCGGAGTGTTCTGGAGCGAAGAGGCATTTCCATGAGGCCTATCGAATCGCTCCGCCCTCCAGAGGGAAAGCATTCACTTTCAACTCATGATGCAAGATTCACTGATACATGGACGAAGCTGAGGTGTGTGCAAATCAGCTACGGAGCTGATGGACCACTCATTGCGAGATAAAGGGCATTTGAACTGAATGAATATGAGGTATTTGGTTCAGATTTTGCAGTGCTCATGACTTACATGGTTTTGAGCATAGCGTGTTGTTCTTATGGATGCCGATATGATCGTGATGCGCAATATGGACGAGTTATTTGATGTCGATCTCCCAAACGACTGGATAGCTGCTGCCCATGTGTGTGCTTGTAACCCACGCAAGCTACCCCACTATCCTGCTGATTGGTATGCCGTTTGACTATTTGCCATTATAATACCTCATATTAAATCTTCCAGGGTTCCCGAGAACTGCGCATATACTCCGTTGATCCACCCCGCTGGCTTGACTACTACAGTGGCCATTACAGAAGCAAGCCCACGTCCGCACACTCAGCTGAATTCCGGCATCGTGGTTCTCAACCCTTCTTTGGCTCTTGCAGAAACCGTCTGCAACCACCTTTACACTTCGCCCCTAGTGTCGACTTGGTCATTCCCAGACCAAGATCTCCTGTCAGATTTATTTAGAGGAATGTGGAAACCTCTTCCATGGTGTTATAATGCGCTCAAGACATTGATGTTAATTCACAAGCCGCTGTGGAGAGACGAGGAGATCAGATGCCTTCACTACATTTTGGCTGACAAACCCTGGCAGGCCAGGGTATCTGAAGATGATACAGGAGAGTATGCAAAGAGTCACAGGTGGTGGTGGCAGAGACTAGAGCAGCTCGGCCAAGAGATGAAAGGAGAACCTGAGGACTGGAAGCTGGTGTTGGCGAATGTTGCACAGTGATAATACAGACGGGTACTGACAATACTTTAATTGTAGAATAGATGGGGATCCAAATGTTCAAGATCGCCATGCGACATGCACTTCGTCGGTCCGGAATCTTGAATACAAACAATTATTTTCTGCAAGACTAATCCATAGTATTGAGGTACTGACCTTTGCGTACAGGTGCTCTTTGTAAGAGGCGTCTGAAATCCCATGCGGTAGCTCAGTAGACCAGCCTGAGCAATCATGATGCCGTTATCAATGCAAAAACTATGAGTTCGCGAGTAAGAAATCACGTCGTTAGTGCTTCAAAAAACTAACCGCTCATCAGTAGCAAACACCAATCCACCTCGCTCTTGTGCCATGATGCCCATCATTTCTTGCAGTCGTTCATTACCTTCAGGTAGATCAATAAGGTTGGCCATGACGGGTGGGAACAGATATCTTACAGCCAACTCCTCCGACGATGAGCACCTCCCTGCTCCCAATATGAGCCATCGCTCGTTCCGTGATTTCAACAAGCATGGAAAACACCGTTTCTTGAAGGGAGAAACAGAGATCCGCAGGCGTGATAATGTCTTCTGACTCTTCGCAAGGTGAGCCCTGAGCCCGGTATCGACGATCAGATGTGTAAGCTTCGATGGAAGTCAGTATGCCAGACAGGCTAACATCCATCCCCTTGGTTGTGTAAGGCAACGGGACAAGTCGTTTCCCCCTGAGTGCACGCCAGGTCAACAAAAATACCACGAACAGAAATAAGACAAAATACTTCTTCGCCTCTTGTTCGATGTTATATCCTGGACTTGGGTCGTTGCTCAGGTTGATTACCCTGGCAAACCTGTCGAGGCAGTTTCCAACAGCTATATCGAGTGTTTCTCCAAAGATCCGGTAGCATTGCCGTGAATACGCGATGACCTGTGTGTTGCCACCAGATACGTATAATACCACTGGGTTCTGAGCTCCAGTGACTTGCCGTCCCATTTCGATATCTGTTTCGACAATATCAATGGAAGTTGCAAACCGTGATTGGAGATACCTACGTCCGACACAATGATTGACACCGACAAGGGGCTTCTCGTACAACAATGAGAGGGTGCGAGCAACTAGAGCAACAGACTGCAAAGGTGCACCCATACCGGGACCTGGAGGAATATTTAAACACGAGACTCCACGAAGGATCCAGCTAACCTTTGGTATAACATATACAGTCGAGGTCGTGCATCGTAATGTTTGCTTTTGCAACTGCATCTTTAATCACCGTTAATGCCCACTCTCGATGGTGCTGAGCAGTATCTCGGGGAAGAAATCCCTCCCCAGGTGGTGTAATGTAGGTGTGCCTAACGTTTGAGAGCACTTCGGTCGATCCATCGACAGCATGTTTGATGACTCCTGCGCCGAGTTTGTTAGCTGAACCCTCTAGTCCTAGTGCGATGTATGCCCTGCCTGACGAAGCCGGTGAGTGTTGTTCGCTACGAAACACCTTAATCTCAACTTGGATTCTTGAGCGGAGACTCGCGACGACGGCCTGGCATTGTTCGAGATCTCTGTCTAGTTCTCGTGCTTCAACGTTTGACAAAGGCACGGTTACAGTAAAATGAAATCGAAGCTATGATACAATGTTATTAGGCCTTGTGGACTAGAGTATGTAGTAGTAGTAGTCGTCGCTCAGTTGATCGTGATGCGAATTATGTAAGGTATCTAGGTCACCCTAAGAGTCGCTATCAGTCCACAGAGAACTCGTCAACATTAATGGTCTCTTCAATACGGGGGCGTTTTTGTGACGAGCGCATAACAGCTGATTCCTGTTTAATCGAACGCTGAGATGACAAGGAGTTCGTGTTGTTCTGTTCCATTTTTTGCGCCTTCAGTTTCTTGTAGAGGTCTTCCTTGAAATCAAGACATGTCAACTTGACGCAGGGAACGCGAAGTTCACCACGCTCATAAGCAGCATTTATGCCCTCGACAGAACGTGAGTCTTTTGCTTTTCGCTGTGTAGTTTCGCAATACTTGGATCGAACCTATGGACCAAAATCAAGGGATGACTCGGATATCTTTGAGGCTAAGCATACTTACTTTCTCTGGGAGCGTCAGCCATTCTTCAACGGTCAAGGGTTCAACACGATGGACCCGATACCGGCCCATAAGTCTGTAGTTGGTTTTTGCAACCCCAACGAAGAGTTCATGTACCTCTGGCTGAAGAAATTTGTGAATCTCTTCCCCTAAGCCAACGAACATATAACCAGCCATGCCAGGACTTGTTGGACACCAAGGATTCTCCCATAAGTTCGGGCAAAGGTAGCTTGTTATACCAAATTTTAGTGCTAGAGGCTTTGGCGCTGCAATGCTGAAGAGTTCATAAGCTGATACTATCAAATACATCAGTCGAGAGCCTACTTTGAAATGAGAGATTGTGACCCTCCCCCAATGTGTATTGAGATAAATGGTCGGGTGAAACATACAGTCCCACTATCTGGAAGATCGGGAATTATTTGCGGGACATTTTCAATAGCTCTCTTTCGAGGAGGCGGTAGCCGAGAGGGTGGATGTACTGCAACAATATCTGCTGATGTATCTCTCTCTTCCTTCAAGTTTCGCTCGCGAGATGGCCCAGCCGTCAAGGGGCCCCGTACGACTGGTAAATTCATGTCATTGGGGGTGCTACGGGGAGTTGGGAGAGGATTCGTGTTCACGCCAATCTGGATGGAGTGTCAGTTGGTGTGGCATGATATATATTAGCCAAAAATGATCCTACATCCACGCGTACAATCTGTGCAGCTGCCTGAAGCTCATGCGCCAAGGTATTCTTTTCTTGGTCTAACTGATGAAGCCGTTGTTCCAGTGTATTAGCCTGAAAACACGTGTTAGGCCGCATCGAGTCGATGAGTTAGTTTCGAAATCACCCTCTGCTGCTGCGTAGTAACATCCATCTTGGTCACTTCTAATATTCACGTAACACATCGTGATCTTTCGTTGCGAGCCGTAGTGCTGCATTCTGACAACGCGTCAGTACATAGAATATTCTAGCAATTGCATCAATGTGCACTCGACGTACCGCGTTCTGCAGTTGCATCATGTCAAGCTCGAGTTTCGCATTTCTGATACGAAGCTGTGGGTAATTAGGCGAGGGGAACGTCAAGGAGATCGCGTCTACGTACCTCATCATTTTCATTTTGCTTCACATGCATTTAGCCGGTCGCGTTCGGTCAGTGCCTCTTGTAAATTTGTGAGTCTCCCGTGCAGGGCAGTAGCTTCCTTTTCTTTCGCCCCAACCAATTGCCCCAGAGTTTCGATGAGGTACTCGTTACCATCGTGTGCCATCCCAGGCTGTCGATCGGTTATCGGGAGGAAA